CTGGATGAAGGGGTGTGAGATTTCTGTTGCCATGTCCCCTCCACCACATTCCTGGGGTGCCATCAGAGCTTGGGGGCACCTTACCCCAGGGGGCCATTTCCCTCACCCTGTTGCTCTGCTTCTGCTGTGGAGCTGGGGAACAGAGCGCTGTAGCCCTGGGTGGCAGAGGAGGCTCAGGGGAAGGGGTTTGCTCCTATTCATGGAAACACCCCGGGGGGACCAGAGCTTGGGAGCAACAACTACAGCAAGAGCCTCCTCCTGCCCCATCGCCCTGCAGAGACATTGAAGGGGCAGTGCTCTGCAGTGTAGCCCTGTGCCAGGATGAGGCCCCAGTGGAGAGGCGGTCCTGGCTTCCCCCATCTCAGGAGGATCCAAAAGCTGTTTTCTGTGTAGGGTCCCTGGGCACCCAGGGGACGACAGACAACAGGGCTGTGCTTGCTATAGACATGTCATGGAAAGAGTCTCTTCCTCCTGCCGGCAACTGGCAAGGGGGTGTAGGTCAGTGGCAGAGCACCCATTTCATACATGGGAGGTCCTGGGTCCGATCCTCAGCATCTCCAGGGGTGCTTTTGCTCTGACTCCCCAGACTCCGATGGGTGCAGGCTGGAGTTGGGGCACTGCTCTCTCCAGGTGCTGTGGGGCTGCCCTGCCCACCCAGGGCCTTGCCCTGGGGTCAGAAGGGCTGAGCTGAGGCAGCTGTGCTAGACCCCAGTTCAGGGCCCCGGCATGGGCCCTGCCCTGCCCCACAGACCACACCCCACACACCAGCCGTGATCCCTACTTGGCAGCAGAGATCCTACGGGGAGATGAGGGGTGGCCTTCAGGGAGGGGATGGACATCAGCAACGCACTGGGGTGCTGGCAATCCTTCAGTCCTTCCTGGCTGCACTGAGAGATGTGGTGTGAGGGTGCTGGTCCATCCCAGGTGTCCTGTGGGACCAGGGCTTTCAGGGGGTAAGTGTGTGAGATTGTCCCGTTCCAGGTAGAGATTCCACAGCACATGGGACTCACCCGTCTGTGCCAGTGCTTAGGGGTGTTTGAGCTGGAGTGACATTTCTTACCCTGATCCTGTCTCTAGGTGCTTTTTCCTCTGCCATCACCCCTGGCTTGAGCAGAGCCTCGGCCCAGGGAACCTGGAGAGGCTGAGGTCAGGCACAGCCCTGCAGAGGTGGGACTGGTGGGACCAGCACCCGCCTCTTGTTCCTGGCGGGGTTTGGTGTCTCCATCCACATCATGCAGGTGGGAACAGGGAGGAATCGGCTTGTCCCCGGCCATGCACAGGTGAGGAGGGCCAGGACTTGGTGCCTCGGCTGCTCCCCTGGCAAAAACCTCCAAAACTAAAATAGGTTGTGAGACACAGCCTTTCACTGCAGGGTATGCAGAGCCCTGGAACGGTGGGCCCAACTTCAGAGCAATAGGTACAAAAGTGAAGCAAAGAAGAAGGGGGCTGTGGGTATCTTATGAACACAGGATGGTGGGTGCCAGTATGGACACTGAGCTGTGGGCTCGAGCCACCCCAGGCAGGGACCAGGGAGACGAACCCAGTGTCTGTCCCATGCCACCTCCCCACCAGCTCTGCCCTCCCCGCGGTGTAGTAATTCTCCCTTACCCTGGCACCTGGCTGAGGCTGTGGAAAGCCCATGGGAGAGCAGCATGGGTGACACACATGGGCACTGGAAACAGCCTTCATCCCCTGGGAAAATCCCACCGGGGCAGGTTCCAGCCCTGCACCTCCACAAGGAGAGATGGGCCCGAGGCGGGGACAGAGGATCTGGCTCCGGGGCCAGGGGCTGCCAGCAGGAAAGCTCTAGACACCAGGATAGAGGGGTGTGTGAGCCTGGGCTCCCCGCAGGAGACCCTCCAGGGTCACCCCAGGGGTGGAGGAGCTCCCAGCAGGGAATGGAACAATGCTGTTGTGGGAGAGGGTGTTGGTGACAGCTGCCTCCTCCACTCTTCTCCTCCTGGGCCAGATCCTGCTGTTTGCAGTGCTACCTAGCTGTGGCTGGCCCCCACAGGGAGTTGTCCTGCCATGGACACCCAACACATCTTCTAGCCTGCAGCAGGGCAAGAGCTGGTGGGGTGTGGAGACCCACCAGCGGGAGCAGGGAGGGCAGTTTGGGCTCCAGGTTCCTGCCCAAGCATCAAACCCTTCTCCCCGCTCGTCTCCTGCATGAGAGGTGTCTCTGCCTATGGAAGCTGGGACAGGTGAAAGCCCCAGCGCAGGGAGAGGGGCCAGCTTTAGGGGAGGGACACAAAATACCCTCTGCCATGGAAATGTGCCCATGCGAGCATTGTCCCCGACACACCCTTCTCCTGGCCAGGGGCTGGATGACGGCTTAGGGCTGCAGCCCATGTCTCATGGGGATCTTTCTCCCTGCCTCTGGCCTCTTGTGGAGTAATCGCTGAGGGGCAATTTGGAAATTTACCCTCTAAGAACAGCATTGAAACAGGGTGGAACGTAGCTAGTACAACGAGTCTGCACCATGGCAATTCCCTAGACAACCCTAGATGTTGGCAGCACTTGGTGTGCTGACTCTGGGAGAGATTACATGGAGAGTGGAACAGAGTGGAGACGTCACGGCCACGCTCTGTGAACAAGGGAATTTAAAGGTACACAGTGTGTACATTAATAAGCTGCACATGCGATGTCCTGGGCCAAGGACCTGTCAACTTTGATGAAATGCTGTATTTGCAGTGAACTTTGCTTATTATAATATCATTAGAACACTAAAATGCACACCCCTCTCAAAAGTTACCCACCTCCCAAGGTGCGACCACCCCTCAATGAGCTTGCACACTGAATTTTTCCTAGTCTGTACCTTTAAACGCGAAGTGAGAGAATTTTGAACCAACCTTGATAAAGGTATGTATGACTAGAGTCACTCAAGCTCCACCTGCAAAGTAAAATACTATAAAATAGTGTTTTAAGAGCTGGATGTTAGGGAAGATACCATCGGTGTGTACTATTCTAACTTCTGGGATCAGTTGATGGGCTGACCCTCTCTTCCCCCTCATCAGGACGCCTTTGGGTAAGATTTGAACACTTGGTCATAGCAAGTGCCTCCCCAGGAAACTTAGAAATCTCTACAGAGTCACTTTACATCTTTTAACGCATTTATAGCCAAGTGGTGTTACTCATATTTGTGGCATTTGCACATGCTTTGTAAGGCAGTGAATTTATCACCGGCAATCCAAAGAACCTGTGTATCTGTCGCTTCAATAAATCGCACTATTGATTGACTCAGCCATGTGTGTGTTGTCCCTGAATGCGACTGTACCTCTGAGTGCGGCCGTGTGAGTTCAGGAGGTGCCCGGCTGAGCAGGTAGTGTGATGTTAGTAGTGCATCCGGACCCATGAGAGTCCAACGAAGGTGTTGGGCACGACCGGACTGCTAACGCTAACTTTGAGCATCATTCAGAACCGAAGCTCAGCTGCCCCCAGTGCCTCTGATATCTGAGGATCAACTGGAAAACAAGGGGGTTTAGTTTCTGCCAAGTTGCTCTGCCTCTTAACGCAACACCTCTCCCTCCTCTGCCTCCCACAACAGTGAAAGAAAGGTCCCCCCACCCTTTTTCTCCCATCCCTCCTGCACCTGCACCCAGGTACTGCCCCAACACGAACCCTCACTGACAGCCCTGGCCAGGCAGCAGGAGGGCAGGGCTGGGGGCTGGAGCGCAGCAGGAGGAGGGGTCCCAGGGCTGCCGTGGGGCCTTGCAGCCCCTGCCCAGGAAGGAGACAGCTCTGGGCATCTAGCAGCAGTGCTTGGGGTCCGCAAGAGCCCAAGGCAGCAGGGACAGCCCTCGGAGACCGGGGTCCTGGCAGAGCCATCGAAGGGGCAATCCCAGCCTGATGTTCCCCAGCAAGTGGCTCTGGGCTGCCTCCTAACCACTGTGGGAGGTGATTCACAGGACGTGTTCCCCGGGGGCTGGCTGGGGTGTTTGGGGCACTGTAGCCGCCTTAGGGCTCACTCCTGTGGGGCCATGGCCCAGGGCTCGCGCCAACATGGCAGCTCCGTCGTGGCCTCTGTGCTGTGGGACCAGCGTGGCCCAGGCAGGGCCTGGGGGAAAGAGCAACTGGGGAATGCTGGCGTGAGGCGGTGGGCACTCTGGAACTCTGTCTGGGGTGCATCACGGGACCTTGCAGAGAGCCGCTTTTGCTGGAAGCTGTAGCTGGCAGGACGGA